TGTCTAGTGAAAGCAGGACAAACCAACCACTTTCCTTATACTTCTCATTCTGACAAAGCTGTAGAAAGATACCACACATGTGCTCACCCTGAGCCTTGTCTTTACCAATACCTGATCTACTGGTGGTGATATTTTGCGTATTTGTATCACCACCTCACACCATGGACTAGCAGTGCCCTCTTTACTGCTGGAAGCAGAGTCATCAACATCTTTAAGACTAACGAGACTTGAGAACCAATTTAGAAAACTCATCCTTACAATTTAGTTTCTCTAGAGCCACTCTCGGTACCAAATGTCTTAGGCTGGGTTCTCTAGAGAAGCAAAACCAGTAAAGCGTATAAATATATAAACAGAGATTTATATCAAGGAAACAGCTCACACAATTATAGAGGCTAGAATGTCCCAAGTCCATGGTTCAGGGTAGAGGCCTTTCCCAATTCATGCAGCTGCAGAAGCTGGTGAGCCCAAGACCGGCAGGTCAAACAGCAGGGCTCACGCTCACAGGTTGTGAAGGTTGACCAATTCCAAGATTGGCAGGCAAGACTGCAAGGTTTCTCCTGATTCATGTAGCTGCAGGGACTGGCGAACCCAAGATCATCAGGTTAGAGAGCAGGGCTCTGCTCACAGGCTGTGAAGGTCAAGGAATCCAAAGCTCAGCAGATAAGTTGACAGCTCAAGTCCCAAGAACCAGAGGTCAGAGGAACAGGGGGCAGCCACAGGATCCAGAGAGAGCAAAAAGCCAGAATGTCTGCTTATATTCAGATGCAGGCCACTCTCCCAGGAAACTCCCTTTCCACTGATTGGCTACTCACAGCATATTCAGTCATGGAAGTGATCACATATAAACACTGAGAATCATGGTCCAGCCAAGTTGACATGCTGTGGGATATATGCCATTTAAACATGGCTGCACTATTGACAACTGCAGCCCCCACAGGCCTCTATGCTGTATACGACGTGTTGGAGACTTGTCAGCGATAAGAATGAGATTAGGCACGACTTGTTTTCCCAAACCTATTGCCCTGTTACTGATTGGCTTGTTTACCTGAATTCCTTCTCCCTTGCCCGAAACTTATTGTTACTCACCCAAAGCTCATTGTTCTGTTATTTGCTTCACTGCTTGCTGTATTGACTATAATATAAATAAACTCCTGAGACTGAAGGCAGGGGTCGACACCTCAGAGTGACCCTCCTGGCCCCACTTCTCTGTAAGAGTTGTGCAGTTGGTTACTGTCTTCGCCGTCCTGACAACCGTCGCCGCAGCGACAACATGCAATCTTAACCATCACATATACACACCAGCAACAAACAATCTGAAAAGGAAATTAAGAAAACAATTCCATTTACAATAGCATCTTAAAGAAAAAAATACCCAAGAATAAATTTAACCAAGGATGTGAAAAACATACAATGAAAATTATAAAACACTGCTGAAAGAGATTAAAGAAGACCCAAGTAAATGGAAAGACATTCTGTTTTCACAGATTCAAAGACCTAACATTGTAAAGATGTCAGAACTACGCAAAACGATCTATTGATTCAATGCAATTCCTGTTAAAATTCCAAGAGCCTTTTTTCTAGAAATCAAAAAACCAGTCCTCAAATTTATGTTATTCCAAGGGGCCCTGAATAGCCAAGAAATCTTGAAAAAGAAGAACAAAGCAGGAGATCTCACACTTCCCAATTATAAAACATACTACAAATAGTCTGGTACTGGTATAATAAATAAATAAATAATACTTATTGATAATAAATAATAAAGACATAGAACATTGGAATAGAATTTAGAGTTCAGAAATAAACCTATACATCTACAGTCAATTAATTTTGACAAGGGTGCTAAGTCCATGCAATGGAGAAAGAATAGTCTCTTTAAAAAATGATGTTGGGACAACTCTATGTTCACTTGCAAAAGAATGAAGCTGGACTCATACCTCACACCATAAATGAAAATTAACTCAAAATGGATCAAGAACCTAAATGTGAAAACTAAAACCATAAAACTCCTAGAAGAAAACATAGGGGTATTCTTCGGGACCTAGTTTTTAACAATGGATTCTTAGATACAACATGATAGGTACAAGGAAAAAAGAAAGACAAAATAGATAAATAGAACCTCATCAAAATTAAAAATTTTTGTTTAAAAAATAACAAAAAAGAGAAGAGACAAGCTATACATTGGAGAAAAAAAAAGGGAACTATGTATCAGATAATGGTTTAATATCCGGAATATATAAAGAACTCCTACAACTTAACAAAAAGGCAAACCACTTGTGATCATTAAGGTTGTGTGTCAACTTGGCTGGGCCATGATTCTCAGTAGTTTGGCAGTTATGATGTAGTTTGGCAATTGTATGATGATGTGATCACCTCCATGATGGGATCTACTGTGGGTAGCCAATCAGCTGAAAGGGAGTTTCTTTGGGGGTGGCCTGCATCCAATATAGGTGGACTCTCTGGCAAGGCTCACTGGCTTTTGCTTGCTCTGGATCCTGCAGCTGGCTCCTGTTCGTCTGACCTCCCGTTCTTGGGACTTGAGCTAGCAGCTTATCTGTGGTCTTGCATGCAAGTCCTGGGATTTGTTGGTCTTCACAGCCTGTGAGCAAGAGCCCTGCTGTCTGACCTGCCAATCTTGGGTTCACCAGCCCCTGTGGCTACGTGAATCAGGAGAAGCCTCCAGCCTGACCCATGGACTTGGGACGTTCCAACCTCTACAACTGTGTAAGCCATTTCCTTGACATAAATCTCTATATATAGACATTTATATGCTTTGCTGGTTTTACTTCTCTAGACAACCCAGCCTAAGACATCACCCAATCAAAAAAAAAAAAAAAAAGGCAAAGATTTAAATAGATACTTCACCAAAGAAAATATACAAATGGGCAAGAAGCACAAGAAAAGATGCTCAACATAATTAGCCATTACAGAGATGCAAATCAAAACTGCAATGAGATACCACTTCACTACCACCAGGATGGCTATAATAAAGTAAATGGAAAACAACCAATTTTGGCAAGAATGTGGAGAAAATGGAACTCTCATTCATTGCTGGTGGGAATGCAAAATGATACAGCCACTGTGCAAAACAATTTGGTGGTTCCTCAGAAAGTTGAACATACAGCTACCATATGACTCAACAATTCCCCTCGTAAGAGACTTGAAAGCAGCAATGCAAACATGTTTTTATACCACTGTTCATTGCAGCACTATAGCCAAAAGGTGGAAACAACACAAATGTCCATCAACAGATCAATGGAGAAGAAAACTGTAGTATATACTTACAATGGAATGTCATTCAGCCTTTAAAAAAAATGAAGTTCTGATACACACTACAACGTGGATGAACCTTGGAAACATTATGCTCAGTAAAGTAAATCAGTCACAAAAGGACAAATATTGTATGTTCCCACTTATATGAAATATCTAGAATAGCCAAATGCATAGACACCAAAGTTTATCAGTGGTTACCAGGTGTAGGAGGGAGGTAGGAAAAGGGGAATCATTTAGGAAGCACTGAGTAGCTGTTTATGATGATGGAAAACTTGTCAATAGGTACTGGTGATGGTTGTACATGACTAATGTAATCAATGTCATTGAATTGCACGTGAAAATTGTTGAATTGACAAATGTTGGGATATGTATATATATATAAAACAATAATTTTAAAAAAGAATGAAGGCAAAAGAAAATATTTTCAGACAGGTTTGTGCTCTTGTCATTTCTGATTGAGGATGATCCTAGCTGTGCACCCTCCATTAGCTGCCTGAGGAAAGGCTCGCTGCGATGAGGCTGAAAAGGTGTGCTCCTCCCCTAAATCCTGCCTTCCCTCAGCTTGTTTTTAAATTTCAGTTTGGAAATCTTCAAACATATACAAAGTACAATGTAATGAACCCCAGTGTATCCATCACCAGCTTCAAGAATGAACAGCCCCAGCCATCTCGCACCATTAAATTCCAACCTACTTTTTTCCAAGCCTCCAGGTGATTTTGAAGCAAACTTCAGACATTATTTCATTCATAAATATGTTAGTGTGTATCTCTAAAAAAGGTTGCTTTCAAAAAATAACCCCAAGAGGCTTCTCATCTCTTTAAAAAAAAACATGTATATGTATTTACTTTGTATCATCAACTATCCAGTGATTGTTTTCATTTCCCCTATTGTTTTACACAGACAATAGGTAATATACTTAGTTTGTGTGTTTAACCAACATCCAAATAAATTCCAAGCAATATAATTGTTGCTATACCTCTTAAATGTTTTTTAGTCTACAGCTTCCCTCTCCTTTTATTTTTCCTTACATTGTTTTTAAGAAACTGAGGCATTTGTCCAGTAGTTTCCCACAGTCTGTATGTTGTTGACTGAATCCCTGTGGTATGTGCAACGTGTTCCTCTGTTCCTAATTTCCTGAAAATTGGTCATTGGATATATAGACTTGATCAGATTCAGGGGTTTTTTGCTCGTTTGATTTTTGGTTTTCCCCTAGATCATCAATTAATTAGGGATGGCAATGTTCCATCATTACTCCACTGGTTATAGGGAAAACTTTTATAAAGGAAATGTCTCATCAAGTATTTGGTTATAACTCAGGTACAAGATAAATACTTAATTCTTTCCTTTTATCAGTTTTCAGAATAATGAATTGGCTCCTTAGCATTCTCCATAGATGGGCAATGAAGTGTTTGGACTTTTGTGTGCGTGTGCCCTTATGAATTCGTGGATTTAAAGATATGTATTTCCATCCAGTGCAGTCTTAATTCTCACTGAGCTTCAAGCTGGCTCCCGATTCCTTTTGCTGGTTCCACTCATCATTGACATTGGCGTCCTTGCTACCTGGATGACAAGGTGTGTCAGGCTCATTCCCTCTTCAGCCCTGGAAGCAGCCATTTCTATAGGATCCCTGGTTTTCGGATGGCAAAAGGTATTTCCAGACAACCCCCTGGACCCTCTTCCCTCTGCTCTTTATTATCTGACCCCCCTTGCAAAAATCTCCCTCTGCGTACGGTAGGACCATTCCCGCCCCCGCCCAGCCGCGCAGCCGCTCTCAGGACCTCCCTGCGTTCGGGTGTCTCCTCTCCTGCTGTCCAGTCGCCCACAGAATCTCGGAGCAGCCTGCTTTGCTCCTGACCCCTGCGTCCTGCTAGGACCCTGGTCAGACTCCCGGAGGCTAGGCCTCCCGGCGCCCCCACCTTCTGCTGGCGGCCTCGGCACGGTCCCCGATGCCCGCAGCAGGTCGTGCTGGCCGGAACAGTGGGGCCACAGCAGGCTCCTAGTGGCTGGGGCTCCGGCTCCCTCCCAGTGCATCCTGGGGCCGTGGCTTCGCAGGGTCGGGAGGGCAGAGTCCTAGGCCGCTCATCGGAGCTGGGGGCCAGACGACCCCGCGGCTCTGAGAAGGGGAAAGACATGCAGCCACTGACCACCGGAGACTGGGCGACCTGAGGGGCCCGACAACGCCTTTGATGGTCCACAGCAAATATAACTCCAGTAGCGTCTTTCCTTTTCCAGAAAAAAAAAAAAAAAACGCGGAAAATGAAACTGAAGGAGTGGGAAATTCTAATGAAAGAGGGCAACATCGGGCGCTTACTTGCTTATTTATTTGTTTGTTTTTACAAAGGCAATATTTACTCATTGAAAACCTTCCAAAAAGAGAGATCTGAACGAGATAAGAGTGAAAGTCACCAGGCTGTCCCCTTCCAAAGGTCAACACTTGATTGTTCCAGACCTTTTTTCTATGCAGGTACAAATGTATCTAACAGATATATATGTGTTTGTTTAAAAAAAAAAAAAAAAAGTTGCCGTCCGGTCGATTGCAATTTACAGTGACTTGATAGGACAGAGTAAAACGGCCCCACAGGGTTTCCAAGGAGTAGCTGGTGGATTTGAACTGCCGACCTTCTGGTTAACAGCTTAACCACTGAATCACCAGGGCTCCACTTATGTATAGCTTTGGTTTTAAAACAAAAACAAAAAACAGAGAATGAGCATGCCACAGGTGTAGTTCTGTGACTTACTTTTCTCCCTCACTGTTTTACAGACAGCTTTCCATGTCGGTGAAAACGGATCCCTCTTGTTCTTTTAGTTGATAATAGAAGATTTCATTGCACAGATGTACCAGAAATTATTTAGCTATTTCCTTATTGGTCTTTTCCAGATATATGGAAAGAAGATTCTCATACATATCTTTGGGTACATATGTGACTATTTCTGTAGGATTTATTCCAGGAAGTGGACTTACTTAATCAAATAGTAATATTTTTTAATATTTATCAAAACATTTAAAATATTTATCAAAAAATAAATATTACCAAATTACCCTCCAAGTCAGCAACAATTTATGCTCCCTCCAATAGTCCCGTCCCCACTTTCATTGTCACTATTGCTATCAATCTTTACCATTTGCTAATCTCCTTAGATGAGATTAGGAAATTAAAATGGTATCTCATTTTAATTTTTATTTCTTTGATTATTCAAGCTATGAACATGTATTCATGTTTACTGGCCATTTGTACATCTTTTTCTATGAATTGTCTGTTCATATCTTTTGCCTATTTTTCTATTGGGTTGTTAATTTTTAATTTATTCATTTGTAGACAGTCTTTATACAATATTATATGTGTTGCAAATATTCTCTCAGTCTACTTTTTTGTATGATTTAACTTAAGAGTTACAATTATTATCATTCAGAAAATGAAAATTTTATATAGCCACTGTCAAAAATATTTAAAACAGAAATCTTAATTTCCAGGGATTTCTCTTACCCACAAGCCCAAAAATTAACAGTAAAAGCTTGAATCAAAACTGCAAAACTACTGACTTCTTTCTTACCAGACATAGTCAATTTGCCTTTTCTAGCTCAAAAAGGGTAGTTTATAACAGACGCATTAACTCGTGATTTAATGAAAAAGTCTGTGCTTCCTTAATTTTAATTTCAAAAGATCTACGTAAAAGGCCAAAATTTCAGGAGATACTTTTTAACATGCTGACTCAATAATCATTAAGTACTTTGTTACCATAAAAACGTATACTCATTAAGCAAAAAATGTATTTAAGCTTTTGTAAAATCTCCAATCCTCAGGAGCATTTCTCTTTTTGCAGGGAGACTGACCGTTCCTCAATTCGCAAATTGTTTATTAACTCATGAAACAATCATATTATTGTTTTGAGCTAATTCAAAGATTTATTTTTAACCAATGTAACTTGCCTACTTTGAGCAACTTGTTTTTGGAAACAAAATGATCTCCCTGCATGCATACAGAATGACCACTCGGAATAAACTTTATGTTTGAATTTCTTTGTGTTTTATTTTCAAAATCACCCATATCTATAAGCCTTTTGCTTCTGCGTCAAGACTCTAGGATCACAGAAAGCGTTTGTCCTCATCCTACAGGAATTTCAATCCCAGTGGCCGACAGCCGCCCCGTTGATGTCGGTTTAATTCTGAAATATCCCATTGAGAGCAACGACAAAAAACTCAGGCTCTCGTCCCTCGCGGAGTGCATGGCGACTACATTAGTGAGAACGGGTGCACACCGCCCCCTGGAGCGGAAGCGGAACTACACTGGAGCGCTCGTGAGCATTGCGCCCCGTCCTCCCCTCTGCTTTGGTTCCGCGTCCGCAAAGCCCGGGGACGTAGCCTCGGTCTTTGCGGGAGGTGGGTAGGCCC